TAAAAAAAAAAAAAAGAGTTGAGGAAAAGCAAAATTGGAAAACAAACATTTCTTTTTAGTTCAAGTTTCAAGTTTAGAAATCAATGCATTGCGGGAGATTTACTAAGGGCCAGTTCACACTACATGCATTTCAGTTGCATTTTTTTCTGCATCCAAAACTCACAGAAAGTAGGTTATATGGTTGTCAGTGTCATCGTTCACATTAGTGCTTGTAGTTCCCGCAGGGGTTTATTTACCATAAGGCAAACAAGACATTAGCCTAGGGTGGCATTTTTCAGAGGGGCAGTGCCGCCCCCCCCCCCCCCCCCCCCCAAAAGAAGGTATGGAAGAAGGGACACACGCAGCATGGGGACCAGGTGGGATCTAAGAGAGGCTGCGGGCTGCTTGATGCTGTATGCAGAGCCTGACTCTTGTTCCCGGGGATGTCTGACGCTGTGAAAGTGAGTGTCTTCTCCCTCGCTGGGGTGGGGGGAGGTTGCCACTGTATGGAGGGTGGTGGTAGTGGAAGGGGGGGGTGTTGGTCGGTGTCAGGGTTTGTCCGTGGGGGGGGGGGGCGGGGGGGGCAATTTTTGTGTTGCCTAGGGCAGCATGAACCCTAGATACAGCACTGAGTTCCAGTGCATTCTGGATGCAGAAAAAGAAGTAGAACATGCTGCATTTTTTTCTGCACAGAACTGTGCTGGAATGCGGTAAAAAGCACCAAAAAAATGCACTGTAACACACATGTTCCTATTTAAATTAAAGAAAAAGAGAGGGGAAAATAATGAACTGCAATGCATAAGGAATGCGCCAAAAACGCGCATGCAAAACCGCATCTGGTCTGCGTTTCTATAGTGGGAACCAGCCCTAAAAATGCAGCACTCAGAATCTGATGCAGCTGTGCACGGTAGCCAATCAGCTTCTAACGTCAGCGTGTTCAATTCAGCTTTGGCAGTAAAACCTGGAAGCTGATTGGTTTCTATGCTGAGCTGCACTAGATTTTGCACCATGCGGTTTTAGTAAATAACCCCCATTGCATGCTAAAGTACAGTAAACCACAGCAACCAATCAGAAATTATCTCTTTGAAGAAAGCCAGGATGACAAGATCTCTGCTTTCCGGTGTCAATGATGTGCTTTTCGCTTACCTCTGATCCAGAGTCTTTTCATTGCAGAAATAGGTCCCTGTGCTGACATTTGTATTGCTGGCTAGTTGTTAGCCCAGTATAGGTCTATAGCAGGGGCGGACTGACAACTCATGGGGCCCCCAGGCAATAGGGGATCATGGGGCCTCTGTGTCCTTGCCCGCACTCAAAAAAGCCTATGAAAAAGGTACCAGGGGCATCTCATGGGGCCCTCTACTGACCCCGGGCTCTCGGGCAGTGCCCAAGTTTCCAAATGGTCAGTCCGCCCCTGGTCTATAGGATTCCTCTGTTTCAGAGAGGCACACAGAGGGCAGAACAAAGCATGCAAGATTTGCATGTTGCAACTGAAGATCTCAGGATAGGGGCATGGGGGGGGTACAGGGGCAGACTGACCACTTGGAAACTCGGGCACTGCCCGAGGGCCCGGGGTCAGTAGGGGGCCCCATGAGATGCCCCTGGTACCTTTTTCATAGGCTTTTTTGAGTTTGGGCAAGGACACAGGGGCCCCATGATCCCCTATTGCCCGGGGGCCCCATGAGTTGTCAGTCCGCCCCTGGGGGTGTATTTAGAAATCTGTCCTTACAAGTTACAGTTTGGTTGTACAATCTCAGTACAACACATTTAGTCCTCATTCACACAGCCGAAACACAGTCAGAAACATTTTACTGATCATTAGGCAAGGAACAAAAGCTCCTGTGTAATGATTAGCAAACAGATCCGATTTTTTAATGCGTCAAAAATTTCCTGTTTTTTTTTTTTTAATGGTATACGTGTAATGCGCATATCCTCCGATGGGTGATTTTTGGATTTTTTTTGCTATGGATGTGAATGTAGTTCATGTTTCCTTTTAAAACAATGCACTTGCGTTCTTATGCGTAAATAAAAAACTGTTGTAAATGTGATTTTTTTTTATGGCCATGTAAATGAAGCCTTTCCAAAACTGCATAATATGAGGATCTTCCTAGACAATCTATACTTTTTTATCCAGTTAGGCGGGCACTTGCGCTACATTACACTTAAAGATGATCAAACACGCAAATTTTAATGTGTACTGTCGGCGTGCCAACGCTAAGGCTACTTTCACACTGATCCATCGCAAAAACGCATAGGCATTTTTGCTGCGCTTTCTGAGCATTTTTAAAGGACACGTGACACATAGGCGTTTTTGCTGCGCTTTCTGAGCATTTTTAAAGGACACCTGATACATGCATTTTTGCTGCGCTTTCTGAATATTTTTAAAGGACACGTGACACATAGGCGTTTTTGCTGCACTTTCTGAGCATTTTAAAGGATACGTGACACATAGGCGTTTTTGCCGTGCTTTCTGAGCATTTTAAAGGACACCTGACTTAAAAACTGCACCAAAAACACTTCTCAGAGGCATTTTTGAGGCACTTTTCAGGCATTTTCCAGTGATTTTAATGGGAAGAGCTGTTTTTTAGGCTTTTTTGCTTTAATTCACCACACATGCCGCCAAGATGCTGTAAAACAGAAGTTTTTGCACTGCACCACAAGCGCAACGCCTCAGTGTGAAAACATACATAGATATACACAGGGGCAGACTGACCATTCAGATACTCAGGCACTGCCTGAGGGCCCGGGGTCAGTAGGGGGCCCCATGAAATGCCCCTGGTACCTTTTATAGTTTTTTTTGGGTGTTTTTTGAGTGTGGGCAAGGATACAGGAGCCCATTATCCCCTATTGCCCGGGGGCCCCATGAGTTGTCAGTCCGCCCCTGGATATACATTCACATACACAGGGAAACATTTTTCTTGAGCTTTTCAGATGCTTTCTTTTAACGCAAAAACACCTCAAAAACTCCTCTGTGTGAAAGTGGCCTTAGAGCCCTTGTGCCATTTTCTGGAACCCTTTGAATGTTTTGTGGCTCTGGAATGTGTGTTTTTCAGTAGCCTCCCTTACTGAGTGGATATCATCGTTGATAATCTAGAGACCCCAAAATTTCACCAATTCTGCAGTTGCAATTCTTACATGTATTGAATGCACACAATTGTGAAATGGGATATCTTACTGACATCTTTGGTGGTTTATTTAAGGATATCTGTTTTATACAGGGGCGGACTGACAACTCATGGGGCCCCCGAGCAATAGGGGATCATGGGGCCCCAGTGTCCTTGCCCAAACTCAAAAAATCCTATGAAAAAGGTACCAGGGGCATCTCATGGGGCCCCCTACTGACCCCGGGCTCTCGGCTAGTGCCCAAGTTTCCAAATGGTCAGTCCGCCCCTGATTTTATAGCAGCAAATTGGCATCGTCTTTCTTTTTTTCTTTCTTTCTTTCTTTCTTTCTTTCTTTCTTTCTTTCTTTCTTTCTTTCTTTCTCCTTCTTTCTTTTTTTCCTTCCTCCCTCCTCTCTTTCTTCTATAAGTATCTATATCTATCTATCTATCTATCTATCTATCTCTGTACCTAGATATTGAATTCAGATAGTTTTTCCTTTCTTTCTTTCTTTCTTTCTTTCTTTCTTTCTTTCTTTCTTTCTTTTTCTTTCTTTCTTTCTTTCTTTCTTTCTCTTTTTTTCTCTCTTTCTCTGTACTATCGATCGATCGATCTATCTATCTATCTATTCAGTCATATCCGACCCTTGGCGATTGCATGGACCGTCTTTGAACAAAGGACAGCGTTAAAATTTTCTGACTTCGTCTATGAATTGACATCAGTCTAATCAGCACGTCACCCCTTTGCATGTTGATTGCCATTACAACAGATCTTTCCCAGGGTCCAAATTCTTAAGTGATTTTCATGTGCAGTCAGTACTTTAGGATGTTTGTCGCAGTGAGGCAGTTGTGGAACTACAAGTTCCAGCATCTCTGGAAAAGAAATCACTTAATTCTCCATCTGGGAGCAAGCCCAGCATTACATGGCACTCAGGGAGAAGTAGTCCCATTGCAGTTGGAATGCTGTTTATATCATCCATGCTATCATATTTGCAGTGTCCATGTTCCTTAAGCTTGAGGTGATTGAAGCCGTATTAGTGCATTTGCGACAGGAACAATTGAGTACTGTCCGTGATACTTTTTTTATTTGCACTAACATACAATTTTGAGGACAAGCTTTCGGGGAATGTCCCCTTCTTCAAGGTCCAGGCAGTACTACCACCCAGTAGTAGTAACCAGTATTAGTGGTACTGCCTGGACCTTGAAGAAGGGGACATACCCCAAAAGCTTGTCCTCAAAATTGTATGTTAGTGCAAATAAAAAAAGTATCACGTCAGTACTCAATTGGTTCTGTCGCAAGTGCACTAATACGGCTACAATCACCTCAAGCATAAGGAACATGGAAACTGCAAATATGATAGCATGGATGAATTGTTCATGTTCCTTAAGCAATGATCAGCCAATGAAAGTATTTGTGACAGTCAGTGAAAGGCTGGATTCTGTAAAATAGGGAGATGTTTAAGTAGCAGGTAGGCACGTATGTGCTCATAGTAACGCATGTTGACGCAACGAATGCTAAGGTGCTGCATATATGCATTGCAGTACATGGCCCCCGCCATTCTGAACAACCCTCCAATGCCACACGATCACGGGTTGTGGAGTTCAGTGTTGCTCCAAAAAAAAAGTGTGTGTATGCGTTTTTTTTTTTGCATTGAGGCTTGTTAAGAGCCCAATTATTGATCTATTTATTTACTGATGTTATTGAAAAACATTTAAAAAAAAAAAAACTCGCCATGGGAAATAATCACATTGTATATCGTGCGTGACTTCGTAAGTAAAAACCGCTTTCACGGAAAAGGTTGTCGGATTTCTGAAAACTGGTGTTGTTTGTCCAGTCTATTGTTCACCTCTTTCCTTAATTAAATGTGTAATTGTTCTGCCATTGGTGGACAGGAATGACCTCTATTGATCCGTCTCTCCACAGTCGGCAGCAAGACGAGCAGGCACCTGTTGTGCAAACTGCCAGACAACCACAACGACCTTATGGCGACGCAATGCAAACGGAGACCCAGTGTGTAACGCCTGTGGATTGTACTTCAAGCTGCACAATGTAAGTTGCCCCGGCCATTTCCTGAACGTCATGTCTAAGCTTGGCTTGGTAGGAACTGAATAGGATTGGTTTTCTGTTGGGTGTTTCCCCTGGGGATATCCCCCCCCCACCACCACCACCACCATTCACCCTCTTCTAGCATAGCAATGCCCCATCCAATATGGCTTTACAATGCGGATAGCTTGGCTTCTACATCTCTGTGACACCGAAGGGAGATGGGTAGACAATGGCCACACATTCTCTGCTTCTCTTTCAATTTGCTGGAAGGAACTTTGAAGTTAATCATTTAACCCTTGGACAGCTGGCTTAGACCTCCTTCATGAGATTTTTTTTTTTTTTTTTTTTTTTTTTTCAGACCTCTTTAACTCTACTTTTGTAGCATTTATTTGATACACTGAATTTGTCCCTACTGTATTTATCATAGTCTGCCTAATGTTCTGCTACTAAAGAAAAAAATCTTAAAAAAATGCATGCAAGTGGAAAATAAAAGGATAACGAAATGTGACTTTACCTCTGCACCTATACTGGTTTCCTTGTGCTCAGGCTTTTAGGTAAACAACATCGGAATATAATTATTATGCAACTCATGTTACAGCGCAAAGGTGTCGGCTTTGAACTACAATTGCCGTGGCCTGGCCAAAACACATATTACTTATTCAATTACAAGTTAAAGGAGCAAATGCCAACTTAGTGGATCAAATCTCAGTTACCTGAGTAGCTAAGTGTTGGCCCCAGTAAAGGCCAAATTTGCAAGTATGGGAGACGCAGGAAAACTGTACATTTAAGGGCCTTCTTATACCTGTTATGGAGCTCCCTACTCCAATCCCACTTTTCTATGCATTTTTTACAAACATAAATTAAAAACTCGTGCAGACTCCACCTCCGCAACATCGCCAAAATCCGCACGTTCCTAACCCCAGAAACCACTAAACAGCTCATCCACTCCCTCATCATATCACGACTCGACTACTGCAACTCCCTCCTCACTGGCCTGCCTCGCCGCTGGCTATCCCCGCTTCAGTCCATCCTGAATACGGCTGCCAGACTCATTCACCTTTCCAACCGCTCCATCTCCGCCACCCCCCTCTGCCAATCCCTCCACTGGCTTCCGATTGCGCAACGGATCAAATTCAAAATCCTAACACTGACGTACAAAGCTGTCCACCATACTGCCCCGAACTACATCACTGACCTAATATCCAAGTACCGCCCAACACGCACACTCCGCTCCTCACAAGACCTCCTTCTCTCTAGTTCCCTGGTCTGCTCGTCCCATGCCCGCCTCCAGGACTTCTCCAGGGTGTCACCCATCCTCTGGAACTCCCTGCCCCAACCCATCAGATTATCACCGACTCTCCTCTCCTTTAGGTGCACCCTGAAAACCCATCTCTTCAGGGAAGCCTATCCCACCCCCATCTAACTTGCCGACCTCCTCCACTCTTCCTACCACTCCATCCCCCACAGCTATCTCCTCCTGTACCACCATCCCCTCCCTCCTAGATTGTAAGCTCCAAGGAGCAGGACCCTCGATCCCCTCATGTTTTGCATTGTATTGGTATTGTTCTGTCACATGTTCTGTCCCCCTTTGTAATGTACAGCGCTGAGCGAACTATTGGCGCTTTATAAATACTGTATAATAATAATAATTAAATAACAGTTAACTGTGAAGCAGGGGCGGACTGACAACTCATGGGGCCCCCGGGCAATAGGAGATCATGGGGCCCCTGTGTCCTTGCCCAAACTAAAAAAAAGCCTATGAAAATGGTACCAGGGCATCTCATGGGGCCCCCTACTGACCCCGGGCCCTCAGGCAGTGCCCGAGTTTCCAAATGGTCCTTCCGCCCCTGCAGTGAAGATGTCTTAGTTACTCTCAACCATGCCTGGGAAGAGCTAAAACTTAAGTTGGAGTACCTAGGACACGGGCGTCAAACTGGCGGCCCTCCAGCTGTTGCCAAACTACAAGTCCCATGAGGCATTGCAAGATTGACAGTTACAAGCATGACTCCCAAAGGCATAGGCATGATGGGACTTGTAGTTGCGCAACAGCTGGAGGGCTGCCAGTTTGACACCCCTGCCCTAGGAGATATTATTTATTTATTACCGGTACTTATAGTCCTCATGCACACGGGACATTTTTACAGCGGCTGTTTTTGGCATTTGACGTTTTTTTCCTAAAGCCAGTAAACTCCCCAGCAAGTCCCATGAGGCATTGCAAGATTGACAGTTACAAGTATAACTCCCAAAGGTAGAGGGATGATGGGACTTGTAGTTTCGCAACAGCTGGAGGGCTGTCAGTTTGACACCCCTGCCCTAGGAGATATTATTTATTTATTACTGGTACTTATAATCCTCATTTTTACAGCGGCTGTTTTTGGCTTTTGACGTTTTTTCCTACAGCCAGTAAACCCCCCCAGCATGTTCTCCTATGTGTCCATACACACATGGACTGGAATCAATTTTTTTTGGCAAGGGCATTTTTTGGCTAAAAAACCCCCCGGGACTAGTGGATTTCTAGAAGAATATTTTTATATTTTAGCTGTAAAAATGCTCTATGGCTGAAAAACGAGGTAAATCGTGGTAAACCAGTGTTTTTGAACTTTTTTTGACCAAAAAATATTTTTTTTTTGTGGTGAAAAACCACAGATGCTAAAAAACTCATGTTTTAATGCGACTTTACACAATTAACGTTACCAGCGTTATTAAAATGGCCCATGTGCATGGAGCCATATAGTGCAGACAATGTACATGTATATGGCACATTCACATCAGTCCCTGCCCTCAGGGAGCTTACAATCTAAGGTCCCTTACTCACACTAGGGTAAATTTATACACGGTCCAAATAACCTACCAACATGTCTTTGGGGTGTACCCAGAGCAGGGGCAGACTGACCATTTGGAAACTGTGGCACTGCCCAAGGGCCTGGGGTCAGTAGGGGGCCCCATGAGATGCCCCTGGTACCTTTTTCATAGGCTTGAGTTTGGCAAAGGACACAGGGGCCCCATGATCCCCTATTGCCCAGGGGCCCCATGAGTTGTCAGTCCACCCCTGACCCAGAGGTCCCTAACTTACATTCATACATACACATACTAGAGCCAATATAGACAGGAGCCAATTAACCTACCAGCATGTCTTTGGGAATGTGTGAAAAAGCTGGAGTACCCGGAGGAAACCCATGCAGGCACAGGGACAACATGCAGACTCAAGGCAGGTGGTGCTGTGGTTGGGATTTGAACCGATGACCCTACTGCTGCTAGGTGAAAATACTAACCACTTAGCCACCATGCTGAGATGTGAGTGTAGACAAGCAGTGAGATATCATGGTGGACTAATAATTTAAAGAGTACCTGCTGCATTCAGACAGGGTAAGCAGTTTTTGGGGCTAATCCAATGCTAAAAAGCAGAGGTGCAGCTTTACTTTGCTCTAAAAATTTTTTTTACTTGGAGAACTTTTTAATCAGAGAATGGCCACCAAGTGTCTGCAACAGGCACACTTTTATTATTATTATACAGGATTTATATATATATATATATTATATATATATATATATAGGTTTTTATATATATATTATATTATTATTATTATACAGGTTTTATGTATATTATTATTATTATACAGGATTTATTTATTATTATTATTATTATTATTATTATACAGGATATATATATATATTATTATTATACAGGTTTTATATATATTATTATTATTATTATACAGGATTTATATATTATTGTTATTATTATACAGGATTTATATATATATATATATATATATATATATATATATATAATTAATATACAGGATTTATATATATTATTATTATACAGGATTTATATATTATTATTATAATTATACAGGATTTATATATATATATATATATATATATATATATATATATATATATATACAGGATTTTATATATATATATACAGGATTTATATATATTATTATTATACAGGATTTATATATATATTATACAGGATTTATATATATATATTATTATTATACAGGATTTTTATATATATATATATATATTATTATTATACAGGATTTATATCGCGCCAACAGTTTGCTCAGCGCTTTACAATATAACGGGAGACAAAACAGCAACAATACAGTTCAATACAAGAGGGTTAGGGGGGCCCTGATCCTGGGAGCTTACAATCTAAGTTATATAAAGTGTAAAGGGGCAGATCACAGAGCACTAACCAAATATCTAGCAACTATCCTCTGCAAAGTAACTGCAAATGTAATGTACAGGTTGTCACTGTAGAAGTGTCACGTACTAAGGCCATGATATATTTACTTTGTTGTAACAAAGAATGTAGCTGCATGCTCCTCTGCCCTAGAATTGTTTTTTCTATGTATTGTTCTTTCAGAGAACAGTTCTGACATCAGTTCTGCGGGGGATTCACATGCTCCAAACATGGTTTAGATTAGCCAGTGCATGATGTTCTTGTATTATTTTGTTACAGGTGAATAGGCCCCTGACCATGAAAAAGGAAGGAATTCAGACCAGGAATAGGAAAATGTCCAACAAGTCCAAGAAAAACAAGAAAGGCTCAGAGTGTTTTGAGGAACTTTCCAAGTGCATGCAAGAGAAGTCTTCTCCTTTCAGCGCGGCGGCCCTGGCCAGTCACATGGGGCCCATGGGTCACTTGCCTCCTTTCAGCCACTCCGGCCACATTTTGCAGACGCCGACCCCTATCCACCCTTCCTCTAGTCTGTCCTTTGGGCACCCACACCCATCCAGCATGGTAACAGCAATGGGATAAAAATAGAGACTTCTGCAGACTTGTACTCGAGCATGTGGGCATTGCCTGGGTTTTTGGCGCCCAAGTCCTCCAAGAAGACAATGGAGAAGTGTCTTGCACCTCGTCTGTTGCATCAGATAGGCCTTTGCACTGGACTCAAGCAGGACCTTTTTGGTGGGACTAGATAAGCACTTTCCTCCCTCTGGACTGGAAATAAAAAAAAGGAATAATCTGTTTTCCACTGACCAACTCACAGTGAAGGTAAAAAAAAAGGTGGACATAGCGGGCTTTTATCTTTTTTTTTTTTTTATTATTACTGTGAATATTGTAAATATGTTAACTGTCTCTTGTGGGTGAAAAGGACCCAGTGATAGATGATGCTGGATTTGTACTGCAGACTCATTTCAAAATGGACAACTTTATATATTAAAAATATTAAAATTATAATGCTTAATTTTAAAAGAAAAAAAAATATTTATTTTTTGCTCCTGATTTTTTTTTTTTATTTTTTTTTTTCCATTCCGTGTCTCTGGCCTCGCCATGAGGTCATCTGGCCTGTAAGCTTTACTTTTTTTTTTTTTTTTTTTGCGTTGCCACCCTTCTTGGACTAGATCACCACAACATGCTTGACCTGAGTTTAACCCCTTCTGCTGCTGGAAGGCTGTCGGTGAAGAGGTCTTAGAATAAGAGACCATGAAAGCAAACATTGAAAATTATTTAATGTGGTTCTTTTTAAGTGATTGCACCTGGTTTAAGGTTTTGAGGCTTTTTTTTTTTTTTTTTTAGATGCTCATTGGCTTCATTTCTCGACATTCTTTGAGTGCGCATACCAGGTTGTCTTGGTGCTTTTTCTCAAATCCATAAAAAAAAAAAAAAAGTCTCTTAACTTAGCTAGCCTAATTCAAGATGGCTCCTTTGTTTCACTATAAGAATGTTAGCTCTTTGGGCGAGCAAGATGAAATCCAGGAACGCTTTCACTGTCTTTGTAACTAACCACCAAACTTTGCTAGCAAAGCCCGATTTTGGCGCTAAAAGTAGTTGACTCTAAAGGCAAAGAATTCTGGCGTTATATGAAGCCAGCGCTGAAAACCTACACATGGCATGTAACTGAAAACATGTATGATCACCAAAGACCAAATGTTTTGTTTTAAAAATGTAATAATGTGACCGTGTAACGTATTAAATGCTTACCCCCCCCCCTCCCCCTTTCCCAAGCATTCTACTGTTAACAACGTAACATAATGTCATTATGTATATATTATTTAAATAAAGAGAGCAAATTTGGGTGGAGGAAAAAAATATAGCTATAGACAGTGAACTAAATCATGTATCTTAATGGCAGATGTACAAAAAAAAAAATTTTGTAATGAACATTCCAGCCTTGGCAATTATATAAGATAAATATAAATTGCAGTCATTTCATTAAACAATGTATTTAGGGGCCAATTCAGATTAGAAAAAGGCTTAAAAAGAAAAACAAGGTCAAGGGGACAGGCTTAGTTGACGTACGTGTGACGGTTGAAATTAGATCAGAAGAAAAAAATGCTTGCTGGGGTTTGCGCCCAATGTTAAAATGTGGTCCTTTAAAATTTCTTTAAACTCGTAACAGCCAGAAAATTAATCAGGAATTTATTCTGACCATTTGGCTGTATAGAGGGTTAATGCTTAATGGTACAAGCTGTACATTATTTTGTACCTTTTTTTTTTAATTTTATTATATATTTTTATTTTTAAGGGATGGGTGGGGTACAGGAAAAAATTACTGATACAAGAGTAACTGAATAGTGCAATATCTTGCCAGCCTGCAGTTTATATCTGGGGCCCAGAAATAAATTATTTTGTATCGGTAGCCGCATAAAATTATACAGTATTTTTTTTTTACATTGTTTTGATTAGTGATCTTAAGTTATTGTTGATTCTGTACACCATGTTTATATATTGTCTGTAAAAAATTGTATGCTATCCTCCCATTCAATGAAGGTGAATACTAAAAATAAAAGAAACTTTTTTGTGCAATCTGGTCTCTTTTTTTATATTTTTATTTTATATTTGAATATATTTGTTGCTTTAAATTAGAAATGTTCTATTCACAAATGTAAAGGAAAAATAACTTGAAATTAAAAAATTCATCCGCGCATGCTCTGTTGAGTGCACCCGGTGGAGTATTTTAATGTTGTAAGTTGTTGAATTAGGATGGTCAGGATCTATTTAGGTGAAAATTAAAGCATGCTAAATGTTTATGTTTGACTGAAATATTTCAATATTAAATTAATTTATTACAGCCAGGAAATAGCTGAGCTCAGATTTCAGGATTTTTTTCTTTGCTGCGCTGGCTTGATCATGAAATCATTATTTTGACATTTGACTTATTATCGTATTTTGTTTAACAAAATCAAATGGACATAATTCTCTTGGCGTGAGATTGATTCTAGTTATATTACTATATTTCTGCATTGACATGCATATAGTTTTGTGTTATCTAATATTAAATTATATTTAAAAGATTGAGGCTTGTAATAAGTAGTCCTGCTCTGTGTCGTCAAATTTTGGCCCGTTAGTCTATAACCCAGTGGCACCTTAAGAAATTCTTTAACACGTCTCCAGTCTTGGTCCACACAACATACAAATGCGTGTGTAAGATTTTATTTATTTTTTAATTTAAAATTTTTAATTTCTGATCCAACTTATTGATGTCATACAAAATGATTCATTTTTTTTTTTTATGGATTTTTTTAAATAAAAATGAGATGTCTTGGGAATAAAATATTTCAGTCTTACCTGTCGGAAGTTACCAAAAAAGGTTTGAAAAAACCTTTATGAAGCATGTACAGTTAGGAACCAATCTACATATCTTTTATAAGGATATCTATACGATATAGACTTTATATCAACTTAAAAATCTGAGTATCTTTTCATACCTTATTCAAGTTCTAAAACATTAAATGGTTAAAAAAAGTGTTTTAAAAAAAAACAAAAAAAAAACTTTTGTTACCAGATTTTGAGTTGGATGTCAAAACAAGTTGGTCAATTTGTAATGTTTATTTAAAAGACTTTGTTTGTTGATTTACTGCATTTTAAATGTTTCTGTAGACCTTTGTTGAATGTTAAAGGGGTAAAAAGGGCTCATAAAAATACACTAATGTTTTGGTCCAGCAAAGTGTCCCTGCTCTTAGTGCGTTTTAAAGATTAGAATGAGTGACCAGCAAACTGCTGCACACTTCACTTGTAAAGAGAAAGGGCCTATTAAACATGCTGAGACAATTACAGCATTTTGTTGCCAGGCTGAACCAGTTTAGCAGGATCGGAGGGAAGCCTATTCCCAAGTCAGCCTGCTGCTTTTCCACCCAGAACAATTTTGATAATGTCTCTTAAGGGTACGTCACTGAATAAACACGCCGCGGCAAAACAGAGAAGATAGAACCAGGGTTTCGACCTTTGAAAACACTCTTTTAGACGCTCATACGCAGACTAAAGCGTAACTGATCCTGACCATTTTAATCAATGATCTGATTTTGCAAATGCAAGACTTTCAGATTAGAGGAGAATTAAAGTTGCAAAGTTGCTTAATTACAATAAATAAATAAAAATGAAACGGGGGTTGGATGCGCAGGCCATTGGCCAAAAGAGATTTCTTCTAGAAGATCGTTCCAGAAATGTGCACGCTTGGACCATCTACGTGTTTATGGTTAAGAAAAGAAAAATCCTTGCACAAGTTTATATTGGGGGAAACAATAGAAAAAGGTCATAAAACCACACCTAGCCCACAGCTATTCCCTTCTGAGTTTGGATACCTTAGGACACTATGGCAGTGGTTGGTAACTTATGGGCTAAAGAGGGCCTCAAATGCAGCCCCTGACATCACCAAAGGGCCGCACTAAATGTTCAATATATGTAATGCATGCTTGGGAGAACTTTCAGAAACTGCAGACCTAATAGAGAAAATGAACATCAGAAAGGGTAGGAAGGCTTCCCTTTTGGCTGGGGATATGCTGCAGAAGACAATGCAAAACTGGGAACTTGTTACATGAGGCTAGTAGAGATCATTGCTATTACCCTAATCAATGTTTTCACTATAGACTGTTGAGGTTTGAGGGCCACACATCATATACTAAAGGGCTACCTGAGGCCCTTGGATTGAAGGTCGGGCACCAGGGCGCTATGGGGATGGCGACTGGCAGTAGTGTTGAGTTACTAATGGAGTAGAACAGACTTTCTCAACTTTTCTACCCCAGAAGAACCCCTAAAAAAGTGTTCAGATCTTGTGGAATGCTTATTAAAACCAATTATTTTTGGGTCAATGGCAAACATGCCCCTCACATAGGTGGTCAAAATACCAACATTGCAAGCAGCTAAAAAAATAATTGGTGTCATGCTGTTGGCTCTGTCAAGTGGTATTGGTCCTGCATCTATGCAGGCACCAACAGATGGGAGGTCAATCAGTCACAGCGCAAGGAACCCCTAGCAATCTGTGGAGGAACCCTAGTGTTCCATAGAATCCTGGTTGAGAATGACTGGAGTCAAAGCTTTCCACAAAATGTATGTAATCTCTGGAGGAACCCTAGTGTTCCATAGCACCCTGGTTGAGAATGACTGGAGTCAAGGCTGTCCACAAAATATATGTAATCTCTGGAGGAACCCTAGTGTTCCATAGAACGCTGATTGAGAATGACTGGAGTCAAGGCTGTCCACAAAATATATGTAATCTCTGGGGGAAACCCTAGTGTTCCGTAGAATCCTGGTTGAGAATGACTAGAGTCAAGGCTGTCCACAAAATGTATGTAATCTCTGGAGGAACCCTAGTGTTCCATAGAACCATGGTTGACAATGACTGAAGCCAAGGCTGTCCAAAAAATGTATGTAATCTCTGGAGGAACCCTAATGTTCCATAGAACCCAGGTTGAGAATGACTGGAGTCAAAGCTGTCCACAAAATGTATGTAATCTCTGGAGGAACCCTAATGTTCCATAGAACCCAGGTTGAGAATGACTGGAGTCAAAGCTGTCCACAAAATGTATGTAATC